AAGTTCTTCAGCCGGTTCCCAATTAGGGTTTATTTGAATAAACATTTTAGAGAGAATCTTTGATGAGAAATCATACAAAGCCAACAGTTTATCTTGATCCTCTATGAATTCAGATAGGGTCTCTTCATTGAATGTTCAAGGAAAAAAACAAACTTTGTGTCATACCTGTGTGTTGATGCAATTACATCCCAGCAACTCGTTCCAGAGTTCCAAAGGGCCTCACCCATCCTGTGCATGTGTGTGTGTGTGTATATGTACGTACGAACATATCGCGATGATCGAGCATGAGGTGTGATGAGAATGTGGGCCCCGGGTTTTCTTCCTAGTCATAACTGGGAGAGGTTAGGAGTGATTATATTCTCGCCGAGGCGAGTATGCGGCAAAAGGTTCAATCACCTTCGCTTCGAGGTTGTGCTGAGGGAACCACCAAAGAAGGGCTGGTGCATGCGTATATGAGCGAAGTGCGCTGCATTTTTAATTCTTCCCTCGAACACGTACGGGTTTCATCGCCATAATCATACTCGACAATATATAAGCGATTGAGGACTTTCTTAGCTTCGCAAATGTCATCTGGACAGTTTTAATACTGATGCACCCGAGATTTAAATCGAAAGCCAGAGGCAAGAGTTATTTTCCCCTGTGGAATGGCAGTACATATAGTTACTCGAGTACCACGGATTCGTGAGTAAGGGATATGGGATAAACACACCTCAAAAGGGCAGAGGAAATTTTGGGTAAAAACATGTCCCTGCACAAGGCACGCAACCTTGTTTTTGATGATCAATGAATTCAATATTAAAACCCAAAATAGGCATAAATTTTAATTTTATACATAACTTGAAAATGTGAATAAAAACCTAAAATCTATATATTGAATTTTCATGTTGAGGTTAAAAACGGTTATACTTGCAGCTTTTTGTCGTTGGAAATTGATCGTGTGATTCAAGCTTATTACACATAAACTGCATTCATTTCATTCGAAATATATTGTTGGAGTAGTGGCGATATGTTGAGAAATATTACTAGCATCAATATTGGATCTTCAGCATTTCAGACAATGACAACTGACTTGTTTGTTGGTTACGTCGAAATGGACCAAAATATTCCCACGAGGAACCCGTAAAGTAAACTCACTCAATAAAACAATACAGTACAATACAGTACTTTCAATACAAACAATAACAAAGGATGTCTCGTCATCCCATTTGGAGAATGAAGAAAAAAAAGTTGTGGAGCAGAATTTTGCAGAGAAGAGAAAACTGAAACCGTTCAATCATTCGAAAACATTTTTACGCATTGCGTCAAACTCCCACACGAGAGCTCGCCGGCTCCGAAAAACAAATTCGTAATCTTCTTCCTTCCTCGCAACACGTTTCAGCGAGTGTTGCTCAAAACCAAGATTTTGTTTCAGTTCCAATTTAATTTTTCTCTTATATTTCTCTTTTTTCTAAGGTGACTTTTACTCATGATCGAATTCTGCGGGCTTCTCTTCCCCTCCACTTGACTTTGGCGGGTGGTTCTTTGAGCTGTAAAAGAACAAAGAACATCGCTTAAGCTATGTTTTAGCATTGAGGGAGAAAGAAATACTAAATAATAATAATAATAATAAGAGGACTGACCGGGAAAGCTGCGCACGATTATTTTTCGCCGACGGGGAAAATTGCAGTGCGCAGTGCGTTCGAAGGGGTGGGTGATCAAGAGAATAAGGCTAGTTTCGGAAAGGGGTCGTTACCCGAGCTTAGGGGTTCTCTTAGCACTAAGCGCTTGACAGTTCAGAGGTCCACTGCGAATGAGGCATTTACAACAACAACAAAAAACGAAATTACTGATGCCGTCCGCTTTGCAAATCCCCTTTCACTGCAAAAACAAAAAACGGAAATTGGCTCATATCAAGGCTCTCATCCTTGTATACTCGTGGCTCGCGAAGTGTTTTCAAAAGCCATAAGACTTTCCCGAAATCAAAATCCAACGAATATATGTCGATGAAAGAAAATGTTTTTGCCAGATTTTGCAGTCCGGATTTTATTTCTCTTCTAAAAAATAAACACGCGCAACAAGTTTAGGCAGTTGGAATTTTTCAGGCCCAAAAATCCTTTCTACACGCTGCAGACAATTTTCAAAAAATATTTCTTACTAGCATAAATCGCCATTTGGACTATTTGACAATTGTTTTTACCCGTTGGCAAATCGTGTAAAGGCACAACTAGGACAAACCAAGAAAAACTTTATGCACGCTCGGAAGGAATCAAGTTTCAAATTTCTTTATTTACTATTTCTTCTTCTTCCTTTTTTCATCATTTTCTTCTTTTTTTCTAATGTTCGCTTCAATGACACCAGTGCAAAAAAAAAAATCATGAGATCGGACATAATTCGAAAGAATATACGAATTGAATCGTTTTATTCTCTCAGATGATTGTCTGAAATATAGTTGAAGGCTTGAAAGTCGAAATATTTTTTTTTTCGGAAATCCATAATACCGGAGTTTCCCCATTCGCGGGATTCAAACTTTTCGAGAGATTCAGTTCAAAAGCGGAGAGCTATAATTTTTCTACAGAAAATTACTGCTCAGCGCAAGTCTATTGAGATATTATTCCATTATTTTTGCATCAAATCATTTTATTTCCTTTCGCGTTGAATCCGGGCATACAGACAAAAAGAACTTCCCAATTTTCTCGGACCTTTCGGGAGGCATACCACGAGCACATGGAAATCCGGTATTTAACGAAACACCCCCCCCCCCCCGAAATTATTACAGATTGATCACGATCATTTCGTCTTCCCTTACACCTGAACATGAAGAATGAAATCATGGATGACTGATTTCCCACATTCCATGGGCGCGGTCAAGTATCACGAGCATTCGAATTTTTTTTTTTCAGCGCAGATTTTTGAAATTACAGTTGATGCCATTATTATCCACGGGGTCTTTTTTCTGAGTTTTTTTAATCGTAGGACAGGACAAAGGCACTGGAGACATGCAATTAAAACGCTCGATCATCCTCTGAAAAATGTCCCCCACGAAGGTACTACCAGCAGCAGAGTAATTTTCGCTCGCATTTAAAATCACGGAACTAATTCGCAAAATCCATCAAACAAAGACAACTATAGGGAATTTCCTCACTTCCTTTACAGCATTGTTTCCTATCCCAGCATTCCCATTCCGGAAGCAATAATGTAAATTATACGCAGAAAAATTGCCTGAAACGTCATCACGGTCCATCGGCGGGAAGGCCTTCTTCATTCATTGTAAAACATTTTTTTTTGTATAAATACCATTTGGCATAAACAGAAGCACGAATAAACCATGGAATATGTGAAACCTCTTTCCACACCCACGAGCGCAAAATAAAAAATAAATAAATAAAATTAAACCCACCACCACCACACACTGAAATGGGGACGGCCATGAAAAATCAAAATTGAATTCCAGGCGGAAAATGTCAAGCAAACCTTCTGCGGCTTCCGGATGAGAGAAAGGATCCCTTGCTTTTCCATAATGCAACCCACGTTGCAGCGTGAGAAATCATGCTGCAATTTCCCTCGCGTGTCACTACATCAACGCGTGACCGGGTGTCTGCTCTTTCTCAGAAGGAAGTCCTTCTCAACTACTCGGTCGAAGTTCGGGGTTTCGGTTTGAAATGCCGAAGGGAATGAAATTACGCGAATGTTCCCGAAATCGAGGGACATTTTTTTTTTCCTTTCTATGGCAGAAATTGGTTGAAGTAATTAGTCCGAAAAAAAAGTAATTGCGTCGGCGCCGACGTACAAGGTAAGACGTTCGACCATGAATTACTATAGAACAGTACATATGCAACTATACGATCACGGAATTGTCCTCTTCCTGGCAGAAATATTCTACTGAAACTTGCTTCATGGACAGACTATGTACAATTACTTTGCATGAATGAATGACAGAAAGCTTTATTTTTCGCTTTTCATTGTTCACGAAGTTCAATCAACATTCTCACATCCAAACCCCCTCCCCACCCAACCCAAATCCATTCAAAGGCATTCCATCACTTCAGAATGGGAAACGGAGAAAAAGCTGTATATGGATACCAAAATGAAAGAAAAAACATTCCACAATATACAACTGCACAACTAATGTGTATGCTTACACCCCTTCTTTCCCTGACATTAAAAACAAAACATCAGTAACAAGAATTGCAGCACAAGCCAGAATTATAGCAATTGCAGCGGTTACTGAACCTCGATTACTTTGGATTCTGTAAAGAAACCTAACTTTATCCACATGCACCCATCATTGGTCAGGAATATACGAGTATATCGAGACAGTTTAACGCGCACGAAAATACAGTACAATAGCTCTACTCCACGAATTAATCAATAAAAATGTAAACGTTTAATTGAAGACAAATGGAGTCACGCGAAGCCCCAGATAATTACAGCATTAGCTTATAAAGCAAATTTCAGTTGGAAAAAATGAAGATTTCCTGCCCTTATAGTCTCAAGACTGAGCATAAAAGCGAAATTTAATGTCATATTTTCGTATCCCCGCAATATTACAGTAATGCTTTCGCCATTTTTCTACCTCGAACATTCCCTCATACTGTGCACCAAACACTCTACGCATGTTTTGATCATAATAATTAAATTCTAGAATATCTTTCATGTGGTTAAATACCCTTGAAAACGAAATATTTCTTCCGGGGAAGGGATGAAGATTCCAAGGAAATATGGCAGACGATACAGGGTGAAAAATGTATGTTCCCTTCACTCGGGCTTTCATTTAAACTGGAATTATACATAACAAACAGTTTGAAATGCGTTCAAGGTCTCAATAAACCCGTTTCCCTGTCAGAGACAGAACTTTCTTAAAGAAAGACTGCTGTTCTACGCATGAAACCTTAGTAAGTGTTCATTTAAAGCGCTGTTCGTTACTCGTAAGTTGCTTTTAGCACGCGCAGTTTTTAAACTTGCTCAACTGTCCGATCACGGCGATGAAGCTGTCCGAATAATGAAAAGGTAAATATATCCATCATGCAAATCCCCCCGAGAACTAAAATCAGACAATTTCACGCATTTGCCCTGATTTTCCCTTTTAAATTTCGACAAAATCATCAATCGCGCCGAGATTTTCCGCAAAAAGATCAAGGATAACCTATACTTTGAAGAATCGAACAGTTAATGTGATAGGATAATAGAGGAGGAATCTCCCAAAAGAAACCTTCTGGTTATTATTCATCCGTCCCATGAAATTATTATTCCCAAAAATTGCTCCCAGTCGCAGATTTCATGCCGTCGTATACGTCGGGAATAATCAAATCCAGACCGGGGAATTGATTAGGCCTTGAATGCATCAAATTCCCAAAAGGAATCAATCACTCATAGGCCAGAACGAAAGCGAGTTCCCGGAATACAATACAGTACAGTGCTGTACAACACTTTGTTGCTGTTCCCGCTCGAGTAGAAATGATTTCAGAGAGGCTAATTTCGTAAGCTTAAGATGGAAACGTTTCGGATTTCGCCTGCGCGTGACTTGGCCGGGAATACTGTATACAGTGTATACACATGAACCACGACCATGAAGCTTTCCTTTCTTCGAACAACAACGACCTTGTTTTCAATCCTAAATTTCGTTTCTTGAGTTTACGGCGAGGCAGGAAAAAAGGTCGCGCATTTTTCTACTAGTCGATTTTACGGACGAAAAATCACCCAGTGGCTTATATACACTCGACGGCGCGAAGAATTTTCTTTGAAGTTGAATCGACAAATTTTTGAAGCAAACAGACCGCTTTCACAATTCCCGCTCTTTATTTATTTTTTGTGAAATACTGCAACGGAAACTTGGACATCGTAATATCAAAAATGCTCTCTTTTCGTATAAAAATCGTGAATACTCCTCGAGAGTGGGAAGCAAATCTCATGTTCACGAAATTATTTGTTTGTAATTCATACAGATTACAGCTGTAAACCCAGCAATATGATTAGAGACCTGACGAAAAAAAAACTATCGAAGGACAAGAACTTATTTCCGAATTCATCGTCTGAAAATGTAATGCAATAAGAAAGGGCCTAGCTGAATTATAATTCGTGGATCGCAATAGAAAAATTTACAATTTATCTAAATTTTTATCCAGCTTCGCAGAAACTGAAGATGTCATAGAAAATATCTGTAGCATAGAATTGGCGCACAATGGAGAACTAAAATAAACATGCTACAGGATTCGTCCAAGAAAGTTGCGGAATCTTCCATTTCTCCGTGGACCATTCAAAGTGGAATCATAAAATGCTTAAAATATCAGGCGGGGTTTCCATAAATGTCAGTCGTTCAAAACCCCCCAATTAAAGCACAGTTACAGCATAAGAAAAATCAGCAGCAATTGAGGATTTTTTCGGCGAACTTCAAACTCGATATACCCCTATATTAAAGTTTGAGCAGTTTTTTAAAATTATGACTTCGAAAGATGCCATTGAATTCTGAAGAAAATCTTCATTTTCGCACACAATAGGTAGGGTTCACAAAATTTCGCGGCCGTCCTTTTTCGGGATTTTCTCGCTTTTTCCTTATTTTCCGAAAACAGCGACTACACGGGAAGTCGACTGATTAATATAAATTTACCTTGACGAAATGTTTTTTTCCATTTCTATGCCTGGGATTTGTGTGCCATTGTTTCCTAAACTTATTTTATCGCAATAAGGAACCACAGATAAAAACGCAGAATCTCTTTCGAAAATAATAATCATTAGGAGACCGCGTAAACTTGGTTATAAATTATAGGGATAGTACAGTAATTGACAGAAAGAACCCATTTCAATCTGCTCATATAGATGGAGTCATGGAGAGTCCAACAGACCACAAAAAAAATCAATTATATGAAAAAATGGTGCTTTACGAAGTAATAGTGGGCAAAATACTACTGCCACATATTGTCTCGTCACTTATTAATGCAGTGGAATATGACCTTTAAAATACTGCATTCATTTTTCCTATCCACCGTCGAAAGAGAGTCTACCTCAACAGCATGTTCTACTCCACTTGAAGAACCCGGGGGAAAAAACCGATTGCCATATTTCGCCGCACAACTCTTCCAGCGTGTATCGGACAATTACTTTAAAACAAATTATATTTTCATGATAAATAGCTGAAAAGTGGCAGCCAAAACCGAGTCCAGCAGGTCGTACATCTCTTCAGCAAACAAAAATCCGTTCTTCTCGCTTGTAGAAAACAAAATTGAAAATTGAGTTACTCACGGCAGCGAATGAGCAGGCAACGATGGCCAGGCCGATGATGAGCGGGATGGAGCCGGTAACGTCCACTCGTCGACCATCAGTGGCAGACACAGTGAGGAAGACGAGCAGGAATGTGATCATGATCTCAATGCAGATCCCATGGAAAATCGTCACTCCGGGGGCCAGAGTGGTCGATCCCATTGCATGCAACGCGTGGTTCGTGCTCGGGGTTACTGCCTGTATATAAGAAGAAAGAAAAGTGCGGTATTTTAAAAGAGAAACGAAAACCAATACAATCCCATGACGCAGTCTGACGTCAACTTCAAAAGTTTGATCGTCATCAGCCTAGAATTAACGCATGAGCCCGAATAACATTTATTACGGTAATTCCACGCGCTAGAAGCCCAGAAAAAAACTGAATATTTCTGGAAGTCAAAACAATAATGGACTGGAAATACTAAAGTTTCTTCGATTAAAAAGCACAAAAAAGTTCGGTAAACATAGATGTTTATTTTTCTCATGTTTCAAGTTGATTTTAATGCAATGAAAAAATTTCGAAAAAAACCTACCCACAAAAAGAAAAATTTTTCGGCGGAATGAACTCGGTGATGAGAAACAGATAACAAGTAATTCTTCGGAATAGATTCTTCCATTGCAAAAAATTAATACATTTCATCAACATTAAACTGGAACACAGGGAATAAGGCCCTTCCTCATTGAACCGGAAAATGTTCGGATTTTATTCTATTCGATTTCTAAAATGGGAGCCCAACAGTGGAAACGCTGATTGAAAAAAAATCGAAAAATGTTAAGGGCATCCTTAGAACGATTATTGCCGGTCATAATTAGAAGATGCGGAGGTAAACATTAAGGAATCTCATAAAACTTGCTTCCAGTCTCTCCATTAATACCTTTACCTGTTGAGATCAGCAATGAATTATACCACAACGAGATTTTAAAGAAGAAAAAAAACTATGCTTTTTTTTCTTATAGGTGTCAATCGATGCTGTGATGATGTCAGGATGTTTTCCCACTAATACTACATTATACTTCACAGTGACGCAATTTTCTTTCACACATACGTCATCATCTTAATTTGAAAGTTCTCGAAGTAATGTTTACACACGTTCTGTGCGGTGATTCATCCGTAATATACACAGCATTATACATACTTCAGATTTACAAGAAAAATGTAGGAGCTTCGACGGAAGAAAGAGCACTATTTAAATTTTCAAGTCTTCATTTTCAGAGTTCTACGAAACAAAACAAAAATCGGGACTTCCATTCGGACGAAGAAAGGATGAAAGTGGGTCACCGAATCGCGGCTGCTTTGATTGAACTTCGATCAGACATTCAAGATTAACCTGTTATGCGCATTTACCCTTTCAAATTTGTTCCATAACCAAAAGAAACCATTTATTTCTCTGTCCGATTCGTGGTGACCATCTTTTCTCGGAACTGACGTCACTTCAGAAAAGAAAAAAAAGGAAGATCCAAAAACAATTCTTATATTTATTTAAATACAGTAAAAGTTATTGTATTACAAATTTCCCTACAAACTTTTCCGGTGGACTCATCGCATCGGATCAAGCTCGAACATCAATCGATTCAGACCGAAGTTTTCATATGGACCTCATTCGTTTTCGCCAAAAAAAAATTCGTCATTCGTTATTAGTCATTTCATCGGGCTAAAAATGTTTTTGAAAATTAATCTGATAAATCGATGCCTAACCCCCAAAAAAATCTAAAAATACGTGAAATACTTCAGGGAATGAATTGCGGTATTTAACGGATGTACAGTACAGTATTTGAACACGGGATAATTATTTTTAACAACTTACACAAGCACAGTTCTTGGCATTACAGTACAGCACTTGGATAAAATTTAAAATGTTTGAATTTCCTTTTCCTAGTAAACCACTAGGTTAGGTTTAGGTTTTTTAAATCCCATAAATGGGATACAGTATTTTCACTCAGGGCTGACACACTTTCAAGTTTTATCGTGCGACTATAAATATAAATAATGTGGCGGCTGATATTTTCTAAAATAATTGATGTGTTCGAAAACTTTTAGCGCTTTTATTTTTTCATAAAAAACCAAGACAGATCCCAATAATGTAACATCACATCCAGTCGAAGAATCTTCATCAATCTAAAATCGACAGGACAATTTAAATGCGGAAAGTTGCATTAATAGATTTGTTCCACACATACATACGGTACATGCATTATAGGCCAAGTTGAATACAAGTGAATAAAAAAGCGCTTTCAGGAGATACCGTGGCAAGATACGAAACGTACATAACCATCACATTTTCGATCATCCTACCCCGTCATCAATCTAATCTGTCAACTGTCAAAGATTTATCGTGCTAATGAAAATAAAAACTCCCCGAGGAGAAGTGCGCCATTGATTCACTGCTGATGATGGTTCTTCAGATACATTAGGAATTAGTCACATGATGATCTACGTTGAAGGCTAGTCGAACCCTCGGAACAATTCAATCAATCAATCTTTTTATTACTCGTCATTAATGAGTGGCCGGTTCTGGATCATTGTCGCGAGGAAACAAAAATGGTTCATCGTCGATCAGAACTGACCTTCAGAAGCGCGGATCCGGAGATGGCTCCTGCGCATTGGGCCAGCGAAAACAAGCACAACTTGATGAAGGAAATCCGCCTACAGGTGAAGAAGCCCAGTGACATTGCCGGATTAACCATCGCACCACTCACGTGCGCCAATGCCTGCAACAAAAAAGTCAAGAATGGAATCATACGACAACGCAAATTGAAAAGAAAAGTCGTCGTGAGTTCCTGGTTTACTCGAGTAAAACGTACGGTGGACATATGGTTTCGGCGGGGCGAAGTGCCGCGTGAAGAAAAGTAATTATACAGTAGAAAATCTCGCAACAACGAGTTCAAGATCTTTAAAAAGCTCCGTTATCAACAAATATTCGTTAAAACGAATTTGAAATAAAAGTTTGGCTACTGGGCAAAAAAAAATTAACTGTAAGCATGGATTCGTTAACAAGAGATTAGTTGTACAGTATGATATTCTACTGAATGGGGAATGATACTAAAAATATATTTTAAAAATCAGAACGAAAGAAATTACGTTTCTTTTTCATTCTTCACATCGGGAAACTGTTCGAGAAAAAAATCAATTCACTTGGTTTCTGTGAAAAATATCATGCAGTACCGTCAAGGACATTTAATTTTCGAAATAAAATATAATTTCTTGTAAATTGTCTCCAATGCTGTGTTTCCAGCACTCGTCTTTCGTAAGCCTTTTTCCCCTAAAATGCCCTAATTTTCTCCCATAAAGCGAAGGCACTTTTTAAAAATCACGGTACATAAGACGGTTTAAAACTAAACTTCCGCACTTATTTTCAAGGATTTCTGAAAAGGCCTCGTTCATTCCAAGTACTGTACTTTGAAAACAATGGACCAGACATGAACGAGTGTTGTTCAATCATCGAAAACATCGTTAAAATATATATAATAAATTATGGATCTATTCTTAAACGAATTCACATTCACCCATGCAGACATTTATTTTTGGACTCGATGTCGAGCTCGGGAAGTAGGTTTCCCTGACTTCCGTGGAATAACCATATGCAATTCAGGCCATGCACAGAGGCATTGAAAAACGCAGCAGCGTGAAATTTTCCAACGAATTCAGTGAAAGGAAATCGCCGTGGCATGTGCTTTAAATTATTCAGAAGTAGTAAAATCCGTCTATTTGCAGCTTTGTGAGATCCTGAAATGTCAACCACAGCAGCAGAAATTGAATCAAATTTATGAAGAAGACATGCTCCGTAGGCGAATAAAATGCGCATTTAAAAAAAAATAAAAATGTACTACAGTACAATAAATCTTATCATTCGCCTTGAAAATCCCCGCGTTTCGTCTACAGAACTTCTTTGAAGAGCCCGAGAAAGAGAAGAAATTCAGAGATTTCCGTATAGACTGAAATACATTTTTAGAATGGATCCATGAAAAAAATCATAGCGGAATTTTTCGAGTGAAAATTGACTTGAAACAGGTAACAAGCGAGTTATATATTCGTTTATTTCACCGAGTAGTAGATCAGAATATTTAAAAGTGAATCGAAATTAATTTTTTACAAAATGAATCTTTCGAATACGTCAAACGCACGTACAGAATCACAGGAAAAAAAAATCATCCATTCAGAGCGCCAAAAAAAATAAAAGCACCCCTTTTATCGACATTGCGATTGAAAATCAATCCACCGATTTTCGAAAAATGAGACGTCAAGCAGAAACTCTTGTATTATTTGAAACCTCGCTCTTCTGTCAGAGGCAATGTATGCACAGTACTGTAGTAATTTCAAGTTTACGTCACGGTGGAATTCCAAGTTCATCGCGATCAGGTGTCCAAGTAAACATCGTGTCATGGGCGAGTACGGATACGAACGAACCAAACAAATGCGAAATAAATGCCTTGGACGAACACCGGAAGTAGCAGCATGTTCTAAAACGCTGGGATAAGCATTAATCACTGCCTGAGATGATCCAACCAAGTGGGTTTCAAGTCATCCAGCGTACTCATGAGAATTGAGGCAAATAATGAAATGAAATAAGAACGCCTTCGAGTATATTAAATTAGTATAATCTCAAGAGCATCGCATATCAAATACATGTATTCAACGAATGCAGTCGAACGCATAGTAAATCAAGCGAACGCAGAAGCGGGGCATGAGAGACCAGCTGACTGGCGGTCGCCTTCGTTCATACACACGGCAAGAGACCGAGGATATGATTATAAATGTTGACAACAATCGAAGGTTCATTTTGAGTAGCAACCGCGAAGAAGGACACTTTAAATCCAGGATTCCCAACCTCTTCCCAAAGGGCATAGCGCAGCACCAAGAAAATACAGTGAGACCCCAAGACGCGGACGTAATTGGTTATTGGAGTATCAAGAGTGTCCTCAAGTCAAAATGTCCCAAAGAGGAGTCTCATTTTCCCTTGGACTTACATTATATAATTTTTAATTGTGTTTTATTTACAAAATACTCACCATAATTCCATGAAAATAAAAATTGTCTCCCAATTTAAACTGATACAATCAATGTATTTCAACACAATATGGACATTTCGGGAATTGTATACTGATACAGCACCTCTGTACAGTACATAGAAATGTTGGCATTCTCTGTAAAATAACATTCAAGTGAAAAAGAGAGAAGGAAGTCCATCTATGGTGGAGGTAATTTTTAAAATTAGCTAAATGGATGGTAAATTGGTGAGAGAAATGCCCACAAACTTTTCTTACATCAATTTCAAGGTTGGAAATATCTGTTTCTTGTAATTTGGCTTGAAACTTATTTGCAATTTTATCACAAAATATCCCAATGTTGAGTCAGTGTCCTCATGTCAGGCCTTTTTTATAATTTTTATATGGGAAAATAAGTGTCCCTATGTCAAATTGTCTGCATGTCAAGGTGTCCGCATGTGGGGGTCTCACTGTACAATCAAGAAAAACTATCCAGTAAGATGCTTGGCTGGGCCCTAAGTTACGTCAGTTTTGTAATAAATTCCCAATAGATGAACGAAAATTTGGCTACATTCTAAATTTCTGTGACTCACGCTGAAAAAAATTCTAAANATAGATGAACGAAAATTTGGCTACATTCTAAATTTCTGTGACTCACGCTGAAAAAAATTCTAAAATGGAAAGTTTAAAATTTTGCTGACTCAGTTTGCAAAACGAAAAAATTGAGAATAAAAAGTGAACCCCGAAACTGAATATCTACTAAACTTGAATTTTTTCGTTTCTTTGTACATCGAGCAAAACTTTTAAAAAGGTTCAGCAAATGACAAGAATACTGCTGCAAATGCATTGCATGCTTATAATGTGAAAATACATACGGTTCTGAATTTTGCTATAGATGCACAGTGGTTTCAAAGTTCAGAGGACTCCAGAATTATAAACATGGATACCCTAAGAACTTAGTTAAAATGCAATGCAAATCCTACTTTATCTTTGTCGCATGAAGATCCACACGGAAAATTGACTACCACTAAAAAGCTTGCAATTAAAATTAAAAGCTGTTACATTATACATTCTTCATGTCCTTAACCCTTAAGGTGTAGGATAGAACCAAGTGAGGGACTACATTGAGGTGATTCATTTTAAAATAGGCTCCTCAATTGAAAAAAAAAACATTTTGAGAACCCCTGCGTTTCAACTTGCAAAACGCCGTACTTTCTGCATAAAAATGCGTAGCTTTTTTGAAAACTGCTTTCGCTTGAGAATGGCGGTGACACGATAAATCATCCATTAGACATACCTGCATGCTTTGCCCTCTCTATCTCTCTAAAAAAAATTACAGTCCTGTACGAGAAAGTCCTTTCGCGCACAGGCCAGAAGCAATATATTCATCGAATGGCGAAATCAAGGTAGTAGAAATTCGAATCAAAACATGTCAATTAACGTCTTCCGACGACGGCATGAAACAAGATGTGATTAAAGCGACAGAAAACGCACGTAACAAGACACTGATCGCTCAATTTTCGTCAGCAGTGATTCCAGTGAAGAATGAAGTAGCATACGAACCGCGTGGTGACAATATACGCAAAGACATGTGCAAGAACTTAATTAGATGAGATTCATCTCCCAGGTGTTTGCGTCTCGTGTGTGGGTGACACAGTGCCTTTCTAAGGAAGGCGTCGTAACTGGCCTGTTAATGACCCGTGACGAGTTACTGAAGCGTGTTTTTTTCTTAACGAAAAAAAAAGATGTGCTGTGAAAAATAAAATTATGTGTTGCTCAACTCCTACCCAGGAAAAAGGAAACAGCAAACATGCATTCAAACTCGAATTCTCAGCAATTAAACTTTTTATATAAAAAAAAGTCTCTGCTAAACGCCAGCACAAAAAAGAATCTTAGTTCAATCCCGAAATCGAAATCGTGATAGCTACCCTTTGTGCATAAAATCTGCATCGGTTTAAAATACAGCAGAGAAAATTTCGTTGCAGCTATTTAGCCTAAAATTTACTGAAGCACCTGACAATGTTTATTCTTTTTGTTGTTGTTCCAAGAACTGTATTCCGTTCTTTCCTGCACGAGTCGATGAAAAATTATTACAAAATAATGTACATCCGTTATGCTCGTGATCAAAATAATATGGAAACTTAAACCATCGGATGAATCATGATCGTATGCCATTAAAGAATAATTAGCTGTCACAAGGATTCAAGCATGACTAAAGGTAGAGTTTGATATCCATGGAGTTTACAGCGCACCATATAATTTGCAAAATTGCCGCAGAGAATATAACATGTATTAAAAATTTTGCTAGCTTGTGATTTCTACTAACAACTTTCTACGGTTCTGAAAATTTTAGCTGCCATTAACTGTCAATAACTACTGATCATGTGAAAAAAATCGACAATATCCTTTCCAATAGCTACAGACGCGAGGATTTCACGAATTATCCAATCAAATATAATAATAATAAAAGAAAATTGCATAAGAAGCAATAAAGTGTAAGAAAAATAAAGGGTAGCCATCATTCACGACGGATTGATGATGTAACGGGGAATAATTTCCAATAAATGAAAATATTGTACCATGATGACGCTTATAATTCCCAGGCAAGTCTTTAAACCACACTAGACTGTTTCAATTGAAACGTTTTGTCAATAATCGGAAAGAATATGACAACATCCTTATAAATAGGGACCCGCGTAAGTTCAAGTGCACTAACCGAAGTACAGTATTTCCTTTTTCCTGGGGGGGGGGGGGGGCAAAAAAAGATAAAAAACGAGAAGAGACATTTTTAATCACTTACGATTAAAAGTCCTAAAACTTTTGAAAATACCGTACAGACTTGCAACGAACAGTTCACTTCGCCTCGAGAGCCTCATCCAAAATCGGCCTTTACCGATAATGTTCTTTTCTATTTCGATCAGGCGGGAGAATCGACAACATCCGCGTCAATTGCGACCCTCGGGACACTTTTGACAAGTTACTCGAGTCGCAAAGGGAAGACGCGTGAGTGGAAATTGTTGATCGCCGCGAGGTTGACTAGTCAGAGCAGGGTGCTATAATTAATGACCGACCGGACGTCCGAGATGTCGGGTCATCGGTGTCGGGACAGACTACTAATCAGGAGACAAACGGGGTGTTGAGTCAAGGTCTCGGTCGCGCTCTTGTCCGGATACATACGGCCCCGGAGATCGACAATAGAGCTGTAATGAGGGTTGTCGTCAAGACGAGGCGAAAGCCCGAGGGTTGCGAAGAAGACGGCGGGGGTTCTTATAAGTCTCGCAAATCACCATCGAAAATAGGATGAAAGGCAATTGATCACCAACCCGCAACTTATTATGGCTCATTTACAGGTACAAAGATCAGTCCCATTCTGCCGAACTGAACATTTGAGACACAAATTCACTTTTGTGCGCTGCGAGAGTTTCTCATAGGGGAGGGAACGAGGGATAATTTTTCGAGACTTTCAGTCAGAATAGCCAGGGAAAATATGCTCCATAAAAAAAGCTATACATTTTCTACTCTGCTTTTAAAGTTGTTGGTCTAAATTTTTTCGCACGTAAATTTATGGATGGAGAGTGACCAGAAATGCAGTGGATGTTGAAGACAAATAACTCCAGTGGCAGTAGTATAGAAAGCAATTATGGAAAATCACAACCGAAAAAAAAATTAGCAATTGTTTCATCTTCAAGTTTTCCCCATATTCCCGGCTCATTTAATGGCATTTCACATTCATCTGCTAATAGCAATGGCATTTTTAGAAAATCGACATCAAAACGTGCTGACGATTGATGCATGCGTTAATAACGGAAACGAAGCATCCGCAATAATAGATTATAAAACGTCGTTGATGACACGCAAGACTTTTTGAGAAGCCCCATTCGTTTAATACGAGTGACTCGCACCCCGAACTTCCTGGGTGGTTTACTCATGACATCGCCCCAAATGGCCCCGGAATTAGTTTGCAGGAGAGAGAATTACCTTCCTCTCTCGTTCGATCGGTCCTCAATTTGCCCACAATGCATCATGGCATTCTCGAAGAGGTGACACCAATCGAAGCATAACAACTTGTTCGCCTTGGAAGAAAACATTCGGCGCCTTGAACCGCACTCGCAGTTCGCAATGAGACTTCAATTTAAATGCAAAAGGCGTGTGAATTGAATTTGTCATCGGACATCCGGAAAAGCAGATGATTAGAATCAAGCGATGAAAAAAAAAAAATTTAAGAACTAATTATCCCTCGAGTCGATGGCATGGTAGTGTTGAAAATGTCAGCAGGTTCCTGGACACGACGCATATTTTTTACTCGTCACATTACATGGATTATTCATGGGTAAATTAGCCGTGCGTTCAATTAACCATGATACAATTTCTAATATACACCAATTAAAAACTCACGAACTGCATCCGCACACAATAATGGGTCACTAACTAGACTTCACATGATCAACAATAATTCCTCTGATTCCTGGCATTCATAAAATATAATTGTGTCATGCTTGATTACACGTGACCATCTATTTCAGGCAGACTCTCTATTATAACTAATTTTTTTCTGTACCCGCATAAAAATAATTTTTTACCCAAGCGGGGTTTCCTCGTCTATCACATACGGGTTCTCTACAAAAAAAAAATTGTCTGGTCCCCTGTAATTCGGGAGTCCACCTGTACATATGAAAAATTAAATCTGGACACTACCCCGTTCTTCGAGGTTTCACGGCATCTTTCGTTACGGAGATTGGCAAGGTAACCAGTACATCTTCAGACACTCTTTCTGATAATTACTGCTGTTAATTTTCAAATTTTACAGTATATCTCGACGTTATTACGTTACAGTACTAAAAAGTAACGATTTCTTCAAGAAACGTTCACGTCAAATCATATGAAAACTTGAAGATGCTGCTATGCTACATTCGAAAAGGAGGTAAAGATAAATTGATTTTTCCTTCATTCAAGAGGGGATTGATCTTGAACTTGATATCGGATATAAATTTTTTTTAAACACTCTGCCTGCTAAGATTTCAAATTTAAAAAAATGATTTCAATTCGTCCGACTTCGACCCAAGTTTGAGAATCCAACTCCCCCTGCCTTAACTAACACATACTGTACTGTACTTGAAAAAGTAAATTATTTTCAGAACCAAATATTTTCTCGCGAAAATATTCAAACATATGTATGAGAAACAAAAAGACATTTTGTCTATTAAAAAGCTCGCAATGCAATTACTGTAGTTGACAAATGTCTTTTGTCGCCATGCTATCATAAATTTGACAACGAAAACGTTCCACTGAATCCAACCAGAATAGCTGACCAATTTAATGGCGAATTACGCAAACGTAAAACCGCATCAGTCAGCGGTTGAAAAATACGAGACATGAATTTTACCATCACAATGAAGAAGAATTTATCATTCTTTCAGGCGTTCAAACAGTTCGTTTCGATCACCTTGAATTCTTGCGAATTCGTACTACATAAATTATTCATGCTAACGGGACGCAGCGGAAAATTTTTCGAAGTTTTCCAAAAGTAGAAGGAAAAATTCACTCGAATAAAAAATTGATTGGGGACTTTCCGCTACTGATTCCGTAATTTAAAAAGCATCCGGTTAGAAAAGAATAAAAAGAGCCGTATACAGTAGAATACAGAAGAGCTTGTTTTTCCGGAATATTTCTTACTCGAACGTCGCAGAAGGCTCGATCTGCTGAAGATGTGTAAAAATATCGCACAGAATCGAAGATCAAATAAGCGTTCACATATGCTGTACTACAACAGTAGAATAATTGACTTCTTCAATTATCCCTTCAAAAAAAATACGGAAACATCCTGATGAAAAAAAAATATTCGAAGTGCTGTTGAGCAACTCGGGGGCTGGATCGGTTTCAAGAATTTCAGACCCACGCGTGGGGATCATATATTTGCTTGTTATACGAACTAAAATTTACTCTCGATAATCACCTTTAATGTTGGTTCATCTACATTTTTGCACTGAAGCACTGCTCTCCGCCTTCCTAGATTTAGTCACTCTCAGAAGTGGGTGTCTTGCGTCCGTGTCACAAAGAAATCAGTGCAACTTATTTGTTATTTTTGGAAATACGAAAACGAGTATCAATCATGATTTCTAGGAAAAAATAAAGTAAATCAAACCTTGAGAGATAGAGGCGCTCCAGCTGCTGTTATGACCAATTACAGTACTGTACATCGCTACCCAGGAAAGTTCATGAAAGAAGAAACGCACGAAATTCACTCTTGAGCATCCTTTTCTGGCCGAGTTTCAGGGTCTGGCAGAATATCGTGCTGTTCCTTAAAAGTGCGTGTCATCAAATACCCCCGAAACAAAATAGTAAATGAAGAAAAGACCCGTCGAGCAGAACCATGCCAAATTTTAACTGAGAGATTCGTGATGAAAAAATATGCGGAGTAAACAGGCAAAATCGAAAAATGTCGGAGAGAGAACGGTACAAAACTACAAGAACCTCATTGAAAAGTTGACGCGGGGCTCAAATAAATTTTTATCAAATTCAGGATTATTTCATGCATTAAATAAAAATATACCGAATTTTTATCACTGCATAAAACAACGTTTCGAGGAAATCCGACAAGAATTCAGACAGCCGCGTCTTAATTTTCAGTTCAATGGATTCAAAAACGCAAACAATTGAGCATCTTTCGAACACAGCAAAGATACTGTATCAAAAAATTGATTTTTTCCCTTTTGAATTTTCCTAACAATATCGTTCGTTTGTTCTGCTCAAGCATATAAAGTTCTGTTCACTTGTCTCGGAACAACACAACAACAGCATTTGAAAAACAGTTTTTCTCATATTCAAGAAAAAAAGGGGGTGTGTCATTTATATGCGGGTATACATTTTTAAAACTACTTCAGTAGTTTAGCTGTGCATTATACTGTAATTGATACTGATGGGAAATTTTGGACCAAGTTTAACAGAAAAACGTATCTTAATGAATTACAGTAGCTGAATTTATGTTAAAGTCATGTTTAAATTCGAATTTGGGTATTTTTATGTTTGGAATATCGCAGTTTTAAAGCCACTGAAAATGGGGTTCGCGACTTACTCGGGATAAGATTTTACCAAATTTTTTGAAGGAAAAGCCCCAGTGCGCATCTTACTCGTGGGCGTATTTGAGTATTTTCGGTAATTTAGTTGTCTTAATATTTTAATCAAATCCGGGAGTACGTTTCCGGGAGAGTTCAAATCAAGAACACGCACGTTAGCGTGGTTTGGGCAGCTCCAAGCAACATCAGCGCAGTGTATAGTGCGGCATTTACTATCAAAAAAATAATAATTTGAGTTCGATGGACAAACTAGTTTTAAAATCTTCCAAGACGTCGCAAGAGAAGCTAAATTCGACACTGACCTGAACGATGCAGGCAAGCGCTAGTCCCCCAGCGAAAGGTCCAGAGATCGGGTCCACGTTTCCTGGAGCCACGGCGAGCATGGTGCCAAAGAAAACGAGCAAGAGCGTGCCGAGATACTCGGCTATCAGCATTCGCCACGTGACAACACCGTCGATTGTACTCCCTGGGGGGCCTTGCTTCAGGCCAAGCCACACGAGACAGTCGAGCTTACCCATCTTGAACCGGACACTTTCCGAATGCAGAAAAACCTTGCGAAGTACGCCGAATGTTTTTTTTTTTGTTGATTATGAGAGGATCGCCTGGCGCGAAAACGTTGTTGTCCTAATTACCATAGTACAAATTCGATAAGGAGATTAAATATAATCATGGTTACCAGACGGATAATCCACGCCGAAAGAAACACTGCGTCTGCGGCTCGAAACGCGCTCGTCATCGGGATGATGTAAATTTCCTGCAACTGCAAGGATACCTACACTAAGGAAGTTACTTGAGCACACCAATGAGTGCATCATGAGCCTTTTCTAGCCGTATTACAGCATGTCATCCTTGCAGATCAAGGAAAATATATGAGCCTTTTCTAGCCGTATTACAGCATGTCATCCTTGCAGATCAAGGAAAATATCTTTCATGCAAAAAATAATTCATGTAAATTCTAAAGAAGTGCAACAAAACGTAAGTAAGACAGGGGTCGCGATTGCTGCAGTGCTAGGATTCTCTCCACAAAAAAAAATGCAAGGGACCAGAGAGAAATTCGTTGCAAAGATAATTTCGTTGTGAAGAGCCTATGTAACATGGGGGAGAGAACTGTATCTATGGGACCCACAAAAAATTCAGCAATCAAGAAAAAAATCTTTCGAAACAAGATCTTTGTAGAGAGAGAGGGTCACTTGCATTGTATTTTTGATTCGCCAGTGCCTCCATCTGGATACAAATTATTACTGATAATTGAACAAAGAAAACCCCGACAATTCTAAAAAAAAAGTCATACCATTGCTAAATTGCTTGTTTTTTCAAATTTACACGAAAAATTTAGCTAGAAAGAGGGAAATTCAGTGATTCGACATCAAAATAAAAAAGACGATTCCGTTTCATATCTTTTAATATGTTGGAATTATATTCGATTCTACGGATCCATTTCTTCTGCAAAGAATGTTGACTATACTGTACTGGTGAAGGCGCTAGCAGAGACACGACAGAATCACCGCCGTATTTTTTTTATCGCGTTTACATTGCATATACTGTACTGTATACAGTGTACTCAATTGAAAATTTCACACACATTTGCCCATGCGGTGGTCTAAGAACAAACGAAACATATTAAAATTAAAGCTGCCAGAAACTGCGACCTCGTATTTCTGCCCAATCCCCTGAATAGTTCATGTTGAGCTGCAAAATCTTCTTCGACCTAATTACTCGAATTCGGGGTCGTTGTACGCAGTCATTTTAAGCACACTTTACAGCCATTTTAGAAAACTGGGTGCGAAATGTTTGATCAGAATGGAGACTGTAAAACGTTTGAACACAATTCTAGTGGAAGCTGTAAATTTCCGAAATATCATATAAAGCAGTAACTATGTTCACGGAAAGGCGCTTGGCGATCGGCGGAAGTCGTTGAACTCACACAAAGAAACACGGAAGGCGCATTATAATTAGCTGCATTCGCCCACAAAATTAAATTTGACCGATGTGTCGGGAAATTCAGCTCATCGCAAAATTGTCAAAGACTGTCGGAATTCGTTTCGTCCAGCACATCTTTATTCAGCGTCAGACTTATTTTAAAGCCACACAAGATGGAAAAAGCCCTTCAAAATAGCTCCACTCAGATGACTCAGTTCATAGGATACATGCAACAGTCACTGCAACAAAGCGCCTTGAAATATTCATCCGCTCATTATGAATTATTGGAACAATTTTAAAAGGCCTGCTGAATCAATATCATGCGGAAAATTAGTAAAAATAAATGTTCCTGAATCCAGAGTAGATCAGAAATCAGTGGAATAAGAAGGGATTGGAACACAGCTGACTTCCTAAACTCCGAGTGAAAAATTTTTTCTATAGGTGGAAGGGCAATCTTTTCCAACGCATTGATGAGCACAAGTGAAAAAGCTTGGAGATTTCGCGTATGTGGGCAGCAATCCGACGCTAATTTTTTTTTTTCCCCCCCCAAGTCAGTTCGACGATGATGAACGCTTCAGTGGATAAGAGAACACTGAGCAACACGAGCGAAGCGTATCTAAGTTGCCCGCGCGGAATCTCGCGAGGTTTTGTAGTAAGAAGGCAGACCGCAAGCGTTGGCGGGAATTGTTCTCGTCAACTTGAAACGAAGAGGGAGCCGAGTCCGCGCGGGCTCGCACAAAAAAAAAACTCATGAGAAGCTTTTTCGGAATACCGCACAATAATTTCTTCCTCGTGTAATGGTTGTGCTGGAAAGCTTACCAGCATAAAGTGTTTCACGAAAGACGCTTTTTCGGACTTCTGGCGTTGAATCGAGCTTTCGCCCAGCGTCTCGGTTCCCAAAGCGTCCGCACGATCAAGGCGACCAGGTCACTTTTTTTTCTGACGAGTTGAGACTCTTCCTGAGACAAGGTCGTCACAGGTACATCACATGACGAGAACAGTAGCATTGTCGTCGACGCTTCCTCATCAATCGAGATTTACCGTCTAGCGTGATGCGTGACTAACGTCTCAAGGACTTCGTAAACACAGCTTCGTCGGTTTTCCAACTTCGTCTCAATTACCCATCTGCGCCTTGAACTTCGCGCTATGTTCATTCAATGGAAAAATTTCCGTGGAATCAATCAACTTCCGCGCAGTACAAAAATTGCGTTAAACGCATCGCTTTAATTGCAAACCAGCATGAACGTCATTCGGCGGTGAAATGAGCAGGAATCAATTCACTTCCTGAACCGTTGACAACACGGATACAAAGGATTCCAGAGAAAACAGCCAACAAGCTTTCATCACAATGAATCACTTTCAATCTCGAAGCCAAATTGGAATTTCGAATTCGTTTGGCTGTTATTGACGTTTTCGGGAAGTGAACGCTTGGCCTTGCTCAGCTTGAAAAATGTTGCGCCCTTGCATTTTCCCGGATAAATGCGAGCTTTTCGATCTGAAACATAGCATCGTGGTCCAACAAGTTCAGTTCGAGCACAGGGGAACTGGAAATCGATATGCAGAAGAAACCGTTTTACTCCGTTCTTCGGCAAAATTAACTCCAGTACTTCGCCAATCATGTCCACTTCGTTCATATACGTGAAATAAACGGATCTCAAGTGAAGCTGAGAAAAACATTCTGCACACAAATCTGGGTAATAATCTTGTAAATAGTTCAATCGATTAAATATTTATCAAAATACTGCATAGAGAAATCTCTTAGGAATATGCGAATACATTTTCCCCATTCAGAAGTACCCGTCAAGAAACGTTTAGAAAATATACCGCTCAATCACGAGGCACAGAATCACTGTGTTCTCAAGTTACACGCAAATAGAGCGGGGGGAATAATCGGGTAATAAAGCGGCTGCCTTTGTTCAATTGGGTTTCTTAAGCTTTGAATTTAAAATAAAGAAAAAATACGTCATGTGAAGAGCAAATATAAGATGAGCTTCAAATCTTAAGCACTTGATCTTAAAATTTCAAAATTTTCAAGTATTCTAGTTCGCTACTTTCTTATTCAAGTGAATTTTGGCTGGTACTACGGAAATTCGCGGATACTTGTGGCAATGATATCCATGGGTCATGTTACTCGTTCTTCAAATTAGAGAGATACTCCTTTGAAAACTTTTGCCATCTCTAGGAAAAAGTTCCGCGTCTCATTTATTATGCACAAAATTACAGTATTTTTTAATTATTGCCCCGAAAAAAATTAAAACTCAGCATTTTACTTTCTCAAGCGCCGTGCACATGGTTTTCCTCAACAAAAATTTTTAACATGTAAATGAATCCTTAGAATCTACACGTTTTCTGAGATCTACAGCAGCGTGTGAATCAACCTGTAAAATTGCTAGAAAGAGAGAACTCACTCTCTTGAAATGTAACGTCACTTTGCATCTTCTTGCGATAATCACCAAGCGTGCTTCTCATTGCCATTCGTTTCTTCGCCATCGGTGCCTTCGAACTGAGCAAAATACTCAAGCCTTTCGCAGCATCCAATACTAAAAACAGCGCATTTTATAGACACAAAACCGGCTGAGGACATTTTCAGAATTACACGAACTTGCCTTTTTTCTCGGACGCTTTGCCTTTCTGGTCCAAGAGTGTCTGCAGTTCTTTGATGCACCAAGATAGTTCATCTTCATAGGTAGTCGTAACTTCAGGTTCTTCCTCAAAAGAAACTGAAGCCGGAGAGGTTTTCGGCGGAGCTTGCTTCGGCTTTTTCTGTTGAATTGAATGAAAGCGTTGGCTGATTTCAATTGAATATCCCGTAGAATCTGAAGCAGATTTCACCTTGGTTGACGTAGCTGGCATTACAATTTGAAAAGCTCAACTTCTCTTTTAAGCATATCGAAGGTTTCTGGAACAGAGAAAATGTTAACACTGCAGGTCTGAGTTCCATTTTAAGCGTAGCCCAGTTAATCATAAACAAATTTGAAGCGTTCAACAAGGCAAATTTCTAAGAGTTTTTTTTTACATCACAGACAGTTGCTATAATGCACTTGCGATCGGCACTCGAAGAATAAGGATGGACTGCGATATCGATGAGAACTTGACTCCTTCAACTCCCAGCTCGGACGATGAAGGAGGAATCCGCCAAAGACTACTTGAAAAAGGCGCCGAGTCCGACCAAGGATTCGAGTTCGACGAATCGGGAGCGCCGAAGGTATACAGACTTATTAAAAAGAAAATTAAATAAATTAGTGAATCACGGTGCCATCGATTCGTTTTTAGGTTCGAAACTCGTACGAACGTTTGGTCGCTGAACAAGATGAGCGAGAGAGAAAAGGCATTCGTTGCGAGATTGTCAAGGGACCAGTAGACGATGAGATCACAGAAGATGTGCCTCCTGATTACCAAGAGCGACTCGGACGACACAACGTACCACGAAAGGCGGACCTCGAAACACTCCGAGGAATTCAACGAAAACTTCAATCGGAGGTATCTGCCTCACACACAATACGATTAGTTTTCCTTCAAAACTAGAACACAGTTCACTGATTTTTAAATTTTTTTCCGATGCGAAGTCAGTGACCCAATTTTCCGAACACAGATATGCGAGCTGTTACTGGATTTCATCCGATTAAAATCGATCAAAGCCACGCGCTCTCTTCGAATAGTTATGCCACTAAAAATAATCACAAAATTATCCACTTAAAACTACCAAAAATTCCCTTCCTGGAAATCTTATTTCATGATCTACAAAGGACTTGCGGCTTTTCCGTAGAAAAATCAATAATTAGAAGTCAGTTGGATGCAAAATAATATGCACCGGAAATATAAACGGAATTCAAATTTTAAATTATCATCCTGTGAAGGCAATTTTTTGCGCTGGGCCAAATCAATTTAAGTACAGTAGTGTCACAACATTCCAGGTCAACAGCCTGAAATCGAAAGCAAAAACCTTTCGAATGCATGTGTCCAAATACAACAAAGGCCACGCGACTTACACAGACTTCGATCGACTCAGTCTCCTGAGATGGGTGCGCGAAGGAAAACGAGGGGTCCTCGGCAAGATCCCATTTGCAGGGTGGGGACTTCGCTGGGAATACCTGGCCCGACTGCAAATCGGCATCGAGCACAAGCGTCGTCAGCTCGAAAAAATACGGAATCAGATCCATAGCTTGCAATTGTTCCGAACGCGATTTAATGACTACCAGAAGGAGACAGCCGGCGTCTTAGACATGCAGTTCATGATTACCAAAAATACGGTGCGCATGAATCAACAACGATTTGAACAACTGCTGATCGCACGACAGTCGTGGGAGTGCACCTTTGAGACTATGATGTATGCGATCGATTGTTCCGGGACTTACAAAACTGTTTGCACCCAGTTGGGCAGACAGCATTGCCAGAAGGACGGCCCCTCAGTTGTTTCGGTCATTCGGCAGATAATTCTTCAGGTGGGAAATTTCCTATCCCAGCTCAACACGTGTTACGAGCGCTGAATTTTCGACGGTGGCCAGCAAAAAGTTTTCAAATGTCACTCAAGCGTACAATTCGAAAATCTCGGCAAAAATTAAAACATTCAAAATCGAGATTGTCGAACACAGATTCGGGAGTATGGTGTGAAAATACCTATTCGAAATAGAATTGGGAAATTCTTCAATGCTAATCCCACTCACGAACAGAACTACGGAAAATAATTTGCTGAACATGGAAGTTGAATTTTCATGATCGATCTTTTTAATTAAATCTTCAGAAAAGTTTTCATCGGACTTAGAACATCACGAGCTCTTCACTATTCCGATCAATTTTACAGTGCTACTAAAATACGGAATCTTATCCCACAGGTTTCGGCGGATGCTCCCTCAGTGAGCAGGGCAACACCACCAGACATGGCATGGGAACAAATTATGGTAGCTCGGTTTCAAAAACAACAAGAAGCCGAGGCAAAACGGGCTTGCAAACCAAAAAGGAAAGCTTGCCGGAAACGCAACATGTCTTGTAAGCCTGATCCACCATCTGAGTCGGTTTCAGTGGAAACTGTGAGCGTTGATACGCCGTTCCAAGACCTGGGCGCTCACCGCGAGCTCTATTATCTATTTGAAAATGTCGAGCACAGTCTCATGGAAGTTCTCCTTGATGTCATCAAGTTAGAGAGCCGCGCTCAATATTGGTGCGATGAAATGGAAGGAAATCCAACTGCAGTAGTAGGCAAAGATTTCCTGGAAGACTGGGAAAAGCCCGTAGTTTTCGAAGTCCCCTCTGAAGATGTATCTGTCGCCATTTGATGATGCACTCAACAGCATTTAATAACAATCTATTCTTGTTCATTTGTTATTCACTTTCCTTTTTGTTGAAAATATAAGAACAAAATTCACTTTTCGTTACAAACAAAAAGCATGAACTCGGAACACTTCAAAGGAAGAAAGGCTTCAAGTCGCAGGTTACCTGTAACCTAAAACGGTACCGTTCCTTCACAACTCATGATCGATTTGGTTTCACGTGACAAATGCACATGGACTCTTTCCCGATTAGGGCAATTTTTCTACCGTTCGGATGCCATCCAAGGTTAGCGACTTCCATGTAGGATGTTTCGGGTAGTCGCACTGACACAGTACCTTCCAACGACCAAAAGAAGACCTTGTTGTTTTCTGTGCAAACGGCCAACATTGACTCGGTCGGGCTCCATACAAAATCTGTCGAAAACAATAGGTCCTTGTTATTACTGTATCAACAGAACCAATAAAATAAAATACACTAAAAAATTGCTGCAATGTCCAGGCTCATAGAATTCCGAAATTCAGGGATGTAATTTGGGAAATGGAATAGCCTGCGTTGTTTTTCCTCCAAGAATTACTCAGCTCATCACCCGAGGATTCTCAAGCCGAGTCTTTGATAGGAGGTAAATTTTAAAATCATTGTCTAGTACGTCACTGTATTTGCTTCAACTTGCGGTACGTTGCTCCATAAATGTAAAAAATTTCATACCGTAAATCTCACCTTTGACCGGATTCTGGAAAATCAGCAGAGAATGCAGCATAAGCGTTTCAATGCTCCAAATCCAAACACCCAGAGGATGCGAATCATTCAAGGAAGCTATATATCGAGCATCAGGACTGAAACCAATCTTGCTCACACCATGACGCCACGGTGATCCAACAGAAAGCAAATCGTCTTTTGAAGTGTTACTCGTCAGAACACTGCCGCTTGAGAGCATGGTAGCATCCACGACGACAGGGAATTTGTCTGCTATCTCAACTGCAGGCAAAAATTGTTAGAAATTTTCCAGCAAGGAACTCCGTAATACACTCACACGCAGTATCATCCCAAGGATGATAGACTTCGTCAAGAGAATCAAGAACCTGGGAGCTCACAGTTACTGGCTTTTCCAAGTAAACAATGAATCCTCTCCCCGCATCTTCTTCTATAACTGCAGGATGATCCCAAACTGTCACAGGCATCCATGTTATGTGATTTAAAACTCGAACCTGTAAATTACAGTACACGTCTTTTGATCACGCTTCGATCGATTTTCACGGCTTCCTCACGCTTCAGAAGATACACATTAGGGAATATATACTTTATTGGCCCAGCTAAAATATTGTACCTTCTGATCAAATGATCCCAAGGCGATGAACTTGGAATTGGGTGCCCAAGCAATAGATCGAACACCGAGAATCCATTCTTGTGGGGCGAAGGTACCCAGTAAATGACCATTCGGAGTATAAAGCACAGCCTGATATTTTAACGCTGAATCCCATACACATAGAGCACTGTCGTCAGGACTCCACTTCAAGCCGGCCATGTTTGATGTTGCAGTAGAAAATCTCTTCAAAAGACAGCGGAAATATATTCGAGCTGCGCAATAAGAAAAGCAGGAATTTCAAAATTCGCAAACTTGGAATATCATACCTTCACTAACTGCCAGGATGAACATGCAAAGATGGCCACCTGATCCTTCCCTTTCCGTCGTTCGCCGACGGCAAAATATTGACCATCATGCGTGAAATCAGCTCCAGGATTGCCGTTCAGCGGATGTTCAATGTATCGAGCAGATCGGTTGATCAACGACCAAATGGTTATTCTCAACTGACACAAAATAAATGGCATTAATTGGTATGTCCAAGAGCAGACACTCGAAGCTTTTAAATAGACGATTCGCACTCCAAAAGACGAATAAAAATGGCATGATTCAAGACAGGAGTGGATATACAGAACGTCCGGAAGTACGAATCCATCACTTATCTCGGACATCGCTGGAACATCTAAAACAAATGACGGGATTTTTCACTGGAAGGCAAACATAAAAATCTCCGTGCCCTTTACGCTTTTGAAAATATCGTGTACAGCACAAGTTAAAATGGGTAATAGGTCGATCTTAGGAATTTCTGGAACGTTGAAATAAAAAGTTTGGGATTCGAGAAAACTGGAAATTCATATATCGACAAAAAAGCCGAGCATGCGATGACTCTCTTTCCTTTTGTTTATAGAACAACATAAACTAGAACTCAGAAGTAATTTGCTCACGTGAAAGTGGCACGTATTGAGGATGTGTCTTGAATCAGGACTCCAAATTGACGAAAAAAGGCTCACAGATCCCTCCTCAATTTTGCATGTCCACTCTAGGTTTTCAACGGACCACACCTGAACCATGCCTCGCTTGTTCATGGCACACAGGATCAACGATGAATCCGGGGACCATTCCAACGTCTGAAGTAAATTTCACAAAAATAATCATATCATGTCATTTCCGATTAAAGAATTCCAATGCATTACATGAATGTTGTCAGCACACGAGAAGACATGTCTCAGAAGCAAAGAGTCCGCTTCATGCAAATATAATTTTTGGCCAGTTGATCTCGCCAAAAAGCGTCCGTCCGGCGAAAATTTTGCTTGGAACCACGACACCTTGTTTAGTTCCGTGAAATCCATCACTATTCGAAAACATCTCCTGAACTGCGATTAAATGGGATCAGATGAAGAATCGGGGAATTCAACCAAGAAATGCAAGGGTGAAATTGCAACGATCTCGTTTTATACTAAATCGGGACATGTATAGCATAAAGGGAATAGGACGAAATCCGCAAGGTCCTTACGAGGTTGGTCAAACATGAATTTGAAGCAGTAATTATAACGCGCCTGCAAACTTCGAACACTTCCGCGGGAAATTATGAAATGATCCTTTAATGAGCGTTTATCTCTTTATAACGCCTTCACTTTCAATTGCTTGATTCTCGGTTGACGCTTTTTCATCTGACGCCTACTTTCTTTCTCTTCCCAACGTCTTTGCTTTTCCGGATCCTCTTCCTTCAAGCACAAGAGAATAAGAACATGAGCACAAAGTACTGTACTAAACAATATTGATTAGGTAATGTGCTTACAGCCATTATTTTTTCCTTCTCTTGACGACGACGCTCTTCACGACGCTGGGCAGCTGCTTCGGCTCTCACTTGATGAGTCGTTTTCAAAAACGACTCTTCAACTCTTGCTCGATTTTTCTCGGCCTTCGATTTCGACTGTAAATCAAATAAGAAAGGAATTGTGAATCGAAAGAATGGGATTTGATTGAGTTTTCCACGATTACAGTATACTAAATTGTGGAAATGTCCAGGCTCATAGAATTCCAAAATTTAGGGGTACAATTTTGGAAATGGAATAGCCTGCATTGTTTCCCCTCCAGGAATTACTCAGCTCATCACCCAAGGATACTCAGGCCGAGTCTTTGATAGGAGGTTCATTTCAATTGATTAATAATTGAAAATCAATTTCAAAATCATTGTCTGGCACAGTACAATATGCAAAGGTCAAACCCAGTTAAATTAACCCCCGATAAACTGTCAACGTCGCTTTCCGCAAAAATTTCATCTTTAATAAATCTGCCCAATGCTGAAGGGATGGGAAAAACACGCCATCCGACATTGTTTTCCTTGTCTCAAACGGCCAATAATGTTTCCTTTGTAAGCGTCTTACACGCTTTTGAAACTTTGAAAGATATCGTTTGAGAATTAAATTCGCAAGAGGAAATGGAAATTACCTCTTTAGAGAGATGGAAACGTTTCAGCCTGTCCATTAGGTAGATCACAAGCAACAAAACTGGCTTCATTGAGTCGATTTCCTCAAGATTGACTTGACCATTTCCCTTGGTAGGAAAATTTATGCCGACGCGGATCACCTTCTTCCCTTCAGGCAGTTTCGTTTGGGGTTGACCCGCTTCATCAGACGGTTTCGGGCCAGAGAATTGATCAGAAACGTGAATATATTCCACGAGCTCCGGATACTTGTTGATCACAGCTTGAGTTCTCGAGTCCAGCACAGTCTGAGTACCTTCTCCGATTTCAGACAATACAACGTAACTACTTGGGAGACCGTATTTATCACCGGTACGTTTCTCGCCACCGTAAGTCGCCTAATTAAGTGGAAAGAAAATTTAATGTGACGAAAGCCGAACAAAATTGTACTGTGTTTACTCACCAGATCATTCATATCTTTAGCGACTTTTGTGGCGGTCTTTTTCTGTCCAGCGAACGCAACAAATGTATCCAATTCATCGGCATTCATTTGCACCTTGATTTCCACGGTGTCGTACGCCTTCTTGAACATCTGAGCAATAATGCTGACTAGATCTTGCCGCTAAATGTGATCAAATAAAAATCATCACAATGAACTTTCATTTCTCGAAAATTTTATGGCTACTGATTTCATCTAACATTTTCGGACGAGGAAGTTTGGCATAGCCAATCCTTTGAAATAGCTCTGAGCAACATTCCTTCGAAATAGCTCTACAGTCAATTAAATAACCTTGAGGAGCTTCAATTCCACGAGCATTCCTTCACAGCATGATCTCCCAGAACACCAAAGAGTGTAAACGTGCTCGCTTTCCTTTTCCAGGCCACACCCTTCGGACGGCAGGTCTTTTCGGCCATCATCGCCAACCAGCGCGAAATTTTCATCTAATATTTGCTTGTGGCAAGCAAACCAAGCCTGCGCTATCTTTGCATTTTTCGCCCGACCGATCATGAAATTCAGGATGTAAACGGCAAGGCCACTAAGGATCAAAATTTCCATAACGTAGCTGTCCCATTTGGTGTTGATAAACATGGGAACTCTAGCGATTTTAATTTCAGGAGCAGTTTTCCCGTGAGCACGAGATGGTTTATCGGCGTCGTAGCCTTCAAACTCTTCTTCATCTCTGAAATGTTCGAACTCGCCGTTCTCGTCCTCATCCTTCATGGAAAAAATAAATTGGTACTTAAACGGGTTTCAGTTGGTGGTAAACGATTCGGAACGAACTTCAATGCTGGTCTCGTCATCGTCGATATCGGACTTCCTGGTCACGGGAGCCGGGGTGGTCAATACGACATCCTCCTTCGTAGCTTCATCATCGAATTCCTCGAACTCTTCGAAATCCGCAAAATCATTGTCTTCAACATCTTCTCTGGAGAACCCAGTGCTTATTTTGCTCGCAACGAACGATAGGCAAAATAACGAAGTAAATAAAAACAGCGCACTTTTCATAATTATCACAAACTGCGACTGGAACACTGAACAATGTTATAAGAGCAACACATTCAAAACAACAATTTTGACCAGGACGCATCATTAGAAGAGCACACAATTCATACACGGATAAAATCCTTGACGCAACAGCCGAAAGAATTTTTTTCAACACCGAACATCCTATAACAGAAATGAGTGCAGATTCGACCCCTTAAATTTTCCGAGGATTAACTCGCCTTTAAGATAAACACGAAGCGAGCACCGAAACGTTTTTAATTCCCAGTCGAAGGAAGCAGCATGAATCACGAGTGAACCGCACTTTCGAAAGTATAACACCCGAAAGTTCACCCGTGATTGCACATGCACTAAAAGCGAAATACAAGGAATATAACGCAAGTTTCTCAAATTTTCAGTTTCCTTCCGGGTTTCTGCTCTCGTCGACCGGAGGCTCTCCGCGTACACGCCGAAGTTCCTCGATCAATTCAGGATGAGCGCTTGAAATCTGATTCGCAAGCTGTTGTCCACTGTAAAATCGAATAAAATCAAATTCTAGTGCACTTGATACTGTAGCACGTGGGACTTACACTCTTAATATGTTTGTGAAATCCTGAGTGAATTCATCCCCTGACTGTCCAGTTTCTCCACCTGACGTTCCAGGTCCAGCAGAATCAGCTCCATCTCCCGGAGGACGCACAGCGCTCACCAGATTACCAACAACAGAGGATAGCCTAAAACATTCACATATCTCAATGACGCTCCTAAAATTCGCGAGAAAGAATGGCTTCCCAACAGATAATTTTGATCGATGATTACACTCTTAATGCCATACAGGTAGATTATCATTTCAACGAAATACCTGGAGTTACATTCTGAACACACCAGCAATTGGTGGGCCAACAGGCCCACCAATTGCCTTACACAGGAGAAAGAAACAATACGACATCCACCTTCGTAGCTTCATCAAATTCCTCAAACTCTACGAAATCCGCAAAATCATTGTCCTCAACATTTTCTCTGGAGAATCCAGTACTTATTTGGCTCGCAGCAAACGATAGACAATCTAACGAAATGAATAAAAACAGCGCACATTGTAATACCTGTACTGTATTGTCAAACATAAAATTAATCAGCACCAAACCTTGTGGCGTCAATTCATAATCGTTCCGAATGAGGAAAGCAGGATAATAAAAATTCCGATCACGCAAAAAGACTCACATTTGCTGCATGTTAGGATCCTGCATGACACGGGACGCCATAGACATGAAATTGGGGTCGTTGAGAAATGAAATAGTATCCCCGCCAGGAGGTGCCGGCATAGGCGGTAAAATCGAAGAGAAAAGATCGGCACCCATTCGTCGCGCACGCTCTTCTTGGTCTATTTTCTCTGTCACGACCTTAATATTGTTGTGATACGTTTCATTATCCGGTTCAAGACTGGCTGCTTGGATGAAGCTTTCTCTCGCTTTCTGATTCTCAGAACGGTTCATGAGAGCAATACTATTTAGAGGAGGAAAAATCATACAAGAGATAGAAAAATCACGACGCTTCTGGGAACACTCACCCCTTACGACAATGAGCTTTGCTGTAATTGTAGTCTAACATGATTGCACGATCACAGTCTTGAAGAGCTCCGGCATTATCCCCACGCTTCAGATGAACGGCCGCACGATTTGAATAATAGACAGCATTGTTTCCATCCAGCTCAATTGCCCTAAGAATATCAAATCAGTTTACAAAACAAGGGTTCGCATATGAATAACAAACTGACTGTGAATAAGCATCCAAAGCTTCTTGCAGCTTCCCAATCTTCAGGAGGTTGTTGCCTTGAATCTTCAATTGTTCAGCTTGTTGCTTTTGTTCAGGAGTAGCTTCGACTGTCTGTTAGAATATATTTTTTACAATTTATACAAAATAATGCGAACACAGAATGAGCACCGCGGACTCACAGCACATAACTTCAAAGCGGATCTGAATGCAAAATCCAGGGGAACTGTTTTTTCCGACCCAGTGACCTTATAAACATTTCTGATACAATCTCGGGCGACGGCCAAGCTCTCCCTGGATTCCATGTTAAGATGACCACCTTGAATTTCTTCTTGGAGATATACAGCAATCGATGCAGCGATAGCAGTCTCTTCATCATTCGAAGCCATTTTCTCACACTTATAACTCAATTTAGAGTTCCTAGACGAACAAAAGAAGAATTGCCCGTCAAATCATTCGAAAAAGTTGGCTAAAATTTCAAGAAGTAACTCGGGGCGAAAAGAGAAAAAATGGTAAGTTCATTTAAAGCAACCTTCGTTGAGTTTCACACCAAGAAAAATAAATCTCCAGAGAAATCCTTCGCATTCACAGTCGATCTTTGGATTCGAAGAGTCGTGAATAGCTGTCACATGTCTCCTTCGGAATCACGCTTGGTACGAGTCCAAATAATTACACTACCCCCAGCATCGGCGGAAGCTAAGTATGCTTCGTCGTAGCTGAAACTAACTCCAACGACAGGCATGGAGTGACCTTGCAGGGAATTGAAAGGATGCTTTCCGGAGTCTTCAACGTCGAAAAAGTAAACGCTGCCATCCTCACTGCCAGTCACTGAAAGATTGATCAACAAAAGCTGCACATTATTTGCACTTATTCAAATAATTTTTCGTTTCATCAATTGGCAGTGAATTTACTTCCGGAAAAATGTATTAAAAGTGGAACTTGACCATCAATTCTGAGAACTGTACCACACATTAAATTACGAACAAATGAGTCCTTGCTGAACACGAGAGGCGGATACGTACCCAACGGAACGCCTCTTCTGAACGACATGAGCGGGCTGAAAGTGGATTTTACAGCGAATGTCCTGTGCGCCAACGGAAAAGAACAGCGTAACATCAAAGTGCCCTCATTACTGCATACTCTGTAATGAAGATTGAAGTCAAAATTCACGCGCATGGCTTCGACAATAAAAATAGCACCTATAAACGAAAAGTTGATCGCAGCCGCAATTAACAAGAAGAGTCGGATCGCACGCCTCGCGACTTAGCCATGTCCTGCACTGCAATCCTGTCACAGGAAAGCCAGAGCGAACTATGGTTCTCCTCTTCCTTGCGAGCTGTCCAGTCATCGGGTTGAAAATAAAAGCTGTTATACCACCCTAAAAGTTGAAAAATTATCATTCTGAAATCCCCAATTCATTATAAAAATTAATACCATGTCATCCGCAGCCCATAACAATCCCCCATTTGGATGAAATGCGATCGAGAGAACGGAGTGACCCAGGTTGCAGATCAGTTGACTCGGGATTATGCCAGTGGAAACGTTGGTAGTTCTCACGGTGCCCTTGTTGTTCCCAACCTGATGAAATGCGCGATAAAATTGCATAAACTTGCATTTCGTTACGTCAGCTGACAGTTTGATATAGCTTCAGCTAATAAATATCAGCACACATGCTCATTTAGGCTGTTCTTCTTTCACTCTATGTCATCCCGTCCCTTCCGTCAACTTTCTTCTCAAGGACGTCGGAAAAAAAGAATTAATTTTTAACGTAAAAATGCAGAATTCCTCTCACAGATGGAAGAGGGGAAAAAGACCGCCAAAATTTTGACAAGCTCGGCTCATATTTAACTGCCATGAACGAAGAATCAATCAACTGTTATACAGCAACCGTTGCTCACAATGACGTAGTTGTTGTTTGTCGGTGCAAATGTACAAGAATGAAGTTCCTCACGATCCCCGTACTGGATGACTCGAAGAGGTTTGCCAGTATTTGCGTCCCAGAGAATCATACTTCCATCTAGCGACGTTGAAACGAGCCAGTCGTTACTCAGAGACCACTCACAACCTGTTGTTGAACCAAAGACATTTTTATGTGGTTATCACAGAATCAATCGGATATTGTATCACATGTACGAAGGCGTCCAAAAGTTCTTGGACTCGCTGATTAAACCAAAAGACACTCCAGAGTCTAGTCTCTAAAACGAAGATGAAGAAAATTGCTCTCCATCTTACGGCTTCCTGAATTTTCTGCCAGTAGGCTCAAAACTGAAAACTAGATTCGAAGAAAAAGTTTGATAGAGCGGAAATCGTTTGAGCTATGAAGCTACGGCGCACGTTGGATCACCAATCGGTCAAAAAGGTAGTCAGGTAGTCGTTAACCGTGGATAAGCATGATTCATTGTTTCAAGCTTATGGAGGAAAATCGTGATTAAAATTAGGGAAATTTTTGAGAATAGCACAGACTTTTAATTCTCAAGTCCGAAAACTCAGGAAAACCTCTCATACACATTACACAATTTCAAGAAACTTACACGTGACGCCCTTTCTGTGCCCACGAAGGACTTCCAGAACACACGGTTCAGGCTCTATCTGACAGATGGATATTGTTCCATCCATAGAGGCACAGGCCACCTTCGTTTTATCATCGTGTGCGAACGTCACCACGTGGACTGCCTTTGAGTGCTTTCGCGTCGCGTTTTCAATTCAATAACCAGCATACTTCAATACTTAGTCAGAAACTTACCTGATCAAAAATATGATGAACACCAGCAAACGCATAATTCTCCGAAATAGACGTATCACCAACGAGGGCACGCGACGCTGAAGCTTCTTTCGTAGGGATCACTGCAGTACGATGACTAGAGGAATCTTTTAGACCCCCCTGCAGTACAGATGTAGATTAAATATCGAAACAGTTACGAAAATCTCATAAGTTTCAAATCAACGATGGCAGAAAATCTCACCACATAAGACACATACGCTCTCGTCCCACTGATGTTCGAAATCCGGCTCAAGCTTCTTCCTCTCTCGCTTCCTGCTTCGCTAAGTAAATTATGCTCGAACTTCATCTGCAGTAGCTGACGACGAATTTGTAGGTATTCAACGCGAACAGTCTCATCACGCTAGAGAGCATGTGCTTCCGTTGAAAAGCTTTTTTCCGAAAGGGACGAAGGGTTCAGTTGAACTCACATTTCTTTTGGCATTTTCTCGAAGTAATTGACTCCTCCTCCTTATGTATAAAGTTCCTGCGGGAGAAAAACAAAAATTCACTCAGGCTAACATCTAGGCACTGTATTAAACAAACATCACCCACTGAATCCTGCTTTGTCCGGCCGCCGCACATTGCATCGGGCATCCAATGCGAGAATTTGCTGCCACACAGCTACAGCCATCCGTAATTACCGGACGATCGGGTGCTTAAAGTTTCACAGTACCCAACAATCTAGTACATATCATCGCGGGTTTAAGACATAGGACGGATCCCTTCCGACCAAACCTTGAACGAGATACAATAATTGCATGATCAACGTAACGCACAACTCATCTTTCTCATCGTCTAATCCTCTGTTACTGATGGCAGAGGCATAGAAAAAGAAAAGCTCCTGCTAACAGAAATAACCCGCGATCTATTCTAGTAGTCCACCGAACATTTCATCCCAAAAATAAATTTTTATTGTTGGGTATAAAGCTCACCACAAACGTGACGCGACTTTATGGTACAACTTCCACTCAACACAGCACCATTCAACACTACCTCTTTCACACCACCCCTAGGAGCACCAGCCTCTCATTGAGTGACTTCAACTGTAATGCTTTAGCAGTGTAAAATGTAAACAGAGACTCCAAGGGACAAATAACATAGTGCACATATAAAACACCTTTTTTAAATAACTAAAAATATATGGTACTTTCCTGTTATCTCTGTACCTCATTCCTAGACCACACTACCATCAAGATATCGAAATAAAGTTCAGTATCACGGTCAACCACCGAAGAATTGTCACAACCCATGTCAAACACGCGCTCAAACATCTGTTCAATCAACACTTACGAATAACGTTCACTCGACGCCAGCGTAATCTCTTTAAGGATGGCACATCAATCCAACACGAAACCTTGAAAACCTGTCATCGAGTTCACATGGACCAATGGGGAATCATGACGCGACGTTATGGTACAACTTCCACTCAATGCAGCTGGTAAGTCGCGATGGAGAAGGTGCGGTGGGGATCCTCGCGGTCGAAGAGTAACTCACTGAAGTTGACATTACGAAATCACCACAGTTTACATTTGACTCTGAGGTTCCCTGTTTATTGTATCACGTGATATAAAACACCTTTCTTAAATAACTAAAAATATATGGTACTTTCCTGTTATCTCTGTACCTCATTCCTAGACCACACTACCATCCAGACAAATCTTAGGACAAGTTCATAATCACAATGACCTACCAGAAACTGTGAATTTTATTTTTCTGCAATCTGCTGAAACTGATGTTGGGTGGTGGTTAGGTAAAGCTAGATTAGGTCAGGTTATGTTAATTAAAAGATAATTGTAACTAACACAACATAACCTGACCTAACCTAACTTTACCCAACCACCTCCCAAAATCAGATAAAAATAATTACAGTATTTCCTGGTCATGTTTGGAAGTCACTTGCACAAATCAGGTCATCACTACCTTATGGAAACTTACACAAATGGTGAAAACCGTTGGTGATTTGTGAAGAGTATTTTATTGTTCTTATTTTGTAATTCTTACGACGTTCAAGTACATAACTTATCATACGATAGAAGCTACACCATTCTTCAACATGTAATTTCTATCTGCAAGCATACGCAGTTCATGAAGTCACTCATTCGTGGTGCTGAGGGAGGGAGTGGAAGGAACAGCCCTTTACAGGGGCAGTGTGGAAGTGAGTTGCATTGAGTTTGAAAGTGTATGGTAACATCTGGTCACCCACCACAAAACCATGAATACTTAATGCTTGTCTACTAACGCTATGATTTCCTCGATTAAAAAATAAATTAGGAATTTTTCTCTATGTATTGAAACGCGCTATCGGGGGAAACAAACCAATAAGAATTTTCTTTAAATATAAATCTTGAAATAAGACCCATTGAGGACGCCGGAAATATTATATGCAGATGTAGATGACTAATGGTATGAAACGGCGGCCAATGGAATCCCATTCTCAATTCAGAATCTCCAAGATCAGCCAAGTTTGAGCACTCGCGCAAAACGGCGATTCCAAGATCCTTCATCTCATTAATGATGTCCTTTTGATCTCGTTCAATGCTTTTGACATTCTTGAGATGCTCAATCGGAGCAACGAGAAGATGATGTTCAGCAGCGGGGCGTATGTCCTTGAATACAATGTATTTATCCGTGCGACGTAAGACATCAGCTTTTTCCTCATGGTCGCATATCTTACAAAACACACAGGTAGGGTCGCGTAAGGACATATCTCGTAACTTATGAGACGTAATCACCGAGTTTAAAGCTGAATAAATTATGCGGTTCCAACAACAGAAATATGTCTGTAAGGATAGGTGAACAATCATACGAATGGATCAAAGAAAATGTACGAATCCGGTACCCATTCTCATCTCAGTACAACTTCGGTTAAACGTAGCTACCGGCAACTCACAACGATGGTCCCGACAATTACTTGAGCATCGTAACCGAAAAAGTCGCCGGTGTTTCCTGGATGACAACTGACATGGTTAAGCTAAAGACGTTGACATATATAGGAACACAGCACCAAGCGTTTCGCGGGAACCCGAAGCACTCGAAATCTGGAACAGCACCTTTTCCATGGAAACTGGGATTACTATAACTCGCATTCGAGTGCTGCAGCCGTAACTTTTTCAAGCGTCTCACATGGATATCAATGAATGGCCTAATTTAAAATGCTGAAAGCCTTGATGGAATGTCTCGCACAAACACGATCATTCGACCCTTCGAATGATCCCAGACGCTCAGCATAAAATCCCTCGAACACACAAGAGTAAGATTTCGGCACTAAGTGTCAGACCCTCCACAAAAAAATACTGTATGCAGTCTAATCTCCTTCCAGGACAACACACACCTACCCAACACTTGTAGGTAATCATCTTGTGAAGTGTGAAAGGTATTGTCAACCACACAAGGTTAAAATCGGAGGGTGACCAGACGTTCTGGTACACTTTCCAACTCCATGCCACTGACTTCCACACTGCCTTCCTAGAGGGATGTTTGCTTCCACTCCATCCCTCAATGCCAGGAATGAGTGACTTTATGAATTGCACATGCTTGCAGTTAGGAATTACATGTTGAAGAATGGTGTAGGAAGATAACATACAGTACTATTCAATACATGAACTTGCAGCATATGTATTGTTTTATTCTCGTATTTTATGAGTAGTATTAGTTGAGGCCAAAAATGGTTAACACATTCAAAGGTATTCCATCACTACCACTGATTTGTGCAAATAACTTCCAAACATGGCCAGAAAAGAATTATTTTTTCTGAGAATTAATTCCTGCTGAAACTGATTTTGGGAGGCAGTTAGGTAAAGTTAGTGTTATGTTAGTTACAAATATCTTTTAATTAACATAACCTGACCTAACCTAACTTTACCTAACTGCCTCCCAATAGTCCCAAATATAAAATATATTTTAATTAACATAACATGACCTAACCTAACTTTACCTAACCAACTCCCAAATATCAAATATCTTTCAATTAACATAACCTGACCTGACCTAACTTTACCTAACTGCCTCCTAAAATCAGTTTCAGCAGAATGCAGAAAAATAAAATTCACAGTTTCTGGTAGGTCATTATGATTATGCCCTAAAGATTTGTCTGGATGGTAGTGCAGTCTAGGAATGAGGTACAGAGATAACAGGAAAGTGCCATATATTTTAGTTATATAAAAAAGGTGTTTTTATGTTTGCACTATGTTATTTGTCCCATGGAGTCTCCATTTACATTTTACACCACCAAAGCATTGCAGTTGCAGTCACTCAATGAGAGGATGGTGCTCCTAGGGGTGGCATGGAAGAGGTAGTGTTGAATGGAGCAGCTTTGAGTGGAAGTTGTACCATAATGTTGGGTCACCCAAATCAGAGATGCTTTTTCTCTTGCCACCGCTCATCATCTGCTTTGTCTAGATCCTCAGTACACGTCCAATTCCGGTGGGCAGTCTGCACAGCTATAAATGTCGTTAGAAAGACAGATAGTGTTTCCCCAGTTCGGGCAGGCCTTGCGCAAGGCTGATAGGTTTTCAAGCATCAGCTTTACATCAGAAGCACCATCTTCGAGCCGACCGTCACCACTCGTCTGGCCCGCTATAGGCGTCTAACCAGAGTAAATTGTGATGCGTCGTATGATATACTGTACTGTACATCGCAGTAGATTGTATAGAACCATATAGAATACAATAGAGTATTGTATAGATTTTTGAAATGTTGCCACAATCATTTTCAAAAATAATTTACTCAATGAAGAAAATACAGTGTCACTTCATTCCTGAATACTCCATGACCTTGGCTAATCATAAATAACTCATCCATAATATAAATGCCTGCTGTGAGTAGCCTGCCTGATACAGTATAATTATCCCTGTCGAAAAACTCTTTTACTTAAAAATTCTCATCCAGTTAAAATTTCCCCAGCAGATAAGAAGGAAAAATATTTTATTTCTGAAGTAAAGTGCATCTGAATAAGTCGGAGCATGACGAGATGGAACCATAGTGCCATTTCTATGCTGATGATTTCCGATGAATATCTTTCTCAACAATTAATTACTGTCCTTTCCGCAGTCTTATACAGTGACAGTCAGAAAATAAAGTTTTATGCATAATATGAGGTAAAATGTATAATTTTTCCAGAAATTACTTATCAGATTGATTTGAGAAGTGTGGACGAGCTGTGCATATAGATGATTAATAATAGACTGTATATTTTCCCATCATCTTGGCAATAAATTTAAAAATTGTCCATGCATTTTTAATAAACCAATATATACCCTCGAAATCAGTTAGGATTTGGGGAAAGTTCGTTTTTATCTTTTCTGGTGCATGATAACATGGCATATAGTATTGTAACTGTTTGAAATTCGTTTTTATAATAGAATTTTCACGCATTTGTTTACTGCTAGTATCGAACTTGTTTGGATATTTCGCGGTTTATTCTTACAGATTTTGAAAGGTCAGCAATATATAAAGCACTGCTGAACAAAGTGCTGCTGAAAGTTGATAAAATAATGGGAAACAATAATAATATGAAGGTTCATTTTCTTTCCGCATTCCACAACGATTCTCAACACGTTTCCTTGGCGAAAATGGTAAAAATTCTCCGCATCCATTGATACAGCCGTCAAAATTGAAAGCAAATGCGCGTCGGTTCTGGAAATACTGTACTGTATAGTGTCAATAATTATTCCCACGTATTTGCCGATAGTTGAAATCCTTGCCTGATGGCACGGGCTTTCGAAGCAGCCACCGCCGGGCTTTAGGATAATGACTAACCCGACA